GAGCGAGAGAGAGAGAGAGAAAGAGAAAGAGAGAAAGAGAGAGAGAGAGAGAGAGAGAGAGAGAAAAGAGAGAAAGAGAGGAACAAATTCGTTCGTTTTTTGCTCACTCGCGTAGCATGAATGCCGTACAGCACACACTTCGAGATCGCAAAACGATTCGACTCCGATTCGACCACATTCATTACTATAGCAAATACCCATTTGTCCAGCCGCGTACTCACTCATTCGTAAAATTCTAGGCATTAGAGCAACACGCAACTCGTTTTAATAGGCAACACGTGTCGTTAGATGAGTGGGCATGGTGCAGTTTCGATTGACTACTACACGCACTACTTCACAGTTTGACGCAATATGTCGAATACATCTGGGTTTACACTACCGACTTTATGTTGTCAAATTAGCAAATTGGACCAACTTCCCAACTATATGACCGACAATCGGCAGTGTAAACACAAAAGTCGAGCGAGCAACTGGTCGATAGCATCTAGTTGGGAGATTAGAACATGTTCTATTTTCGCCAACTTTTTGCCTATAGTCTGTATATCAGCCCAGTTGCGGTTAAACTGCCAATTTTCGGTTGTATAGTTGGGAAGTTGGTCTAATTTGCCAATTTGACAACATAAAGTAGGTAGTGTAAACCCAGCTTAAGTATAGCTCAATACTGGAACCAAAACAGTGCCGTAAATGAAATCACACGAAACACGAACTTCTAGTTTAAAATCGATTTTATTCCATAAACGTCTACAACGAGAATATAATCCTCCCTCAGCGATACCGTGTTATGCCAAAATTATTATTACTTTACTGTAACTTTTTGCAAGAATTACAATTCTGTCAGGCACATTCTATCGTATTCAGTAATAAAATATCATAAACAGGATGGTAATCCATCACTAAATTAGACGTTGTTAGAATACAACTAAAAATTCCATTCGTTTCTAATGTTGTGATTAATACAAACTACTGTAAAATATATATCGAGTACAAAATGAGAGAATAGACACATACGAATACGTAACCGAGACTCGTAAGATGATTTTGCCCAACACTAGTAATAATACATAAAAAGCATATTTGGTCGCGCCGAACCATGGCACTCACAGAATTGTCAGGTGTGTGCACGACAAATCTATTAATGGGTGTAAATTTATGTGTAATTATTCATGTGGATGTGTGTTCATGTATCAAGTTAGTAAAGATGAACTACCACGAAATCGTTTACCAATAAATATGTGCTCCAAGCACGTAGGGATGTACGTACATAAATACGACCCAAGTCACAAGACACTTAAGTCTGTGACCAGTCACACATGCAGTCTCACGACCGACACCTAGCCTGTGACTACTCACACATGCTGCCACACAACTCAGATAAAGTCTGAGACCATTCACACATGCTGCCACACCACCCACAGCAAGTCTGTCACTACTCACACATGCCATCTCACATCGCTACTGTGACTTCTCCTGCCATCTGGCTGTGTGACAGACAATTCGCACAAAGCTAGTCAGTCGGTCAATGCCACAGACAGTTTGCGCCAGTCACCCACGCGACCACCACCACGCAACTTTCTTCAATCATCGGCCATCTACAAATATTGGTAAATTCTGAAACATTATATTATTATTAGCAGCACCGGCCCAGCAAGAAGAGGCCAAGCGCTGACGCATCGCCGGACCCGTTGTTGTCGGCACCGATTGGAAAACGTAGACGAAGAGACCAGGTGGCGCCACCTACAAGCGCTTGAACATGCCAATGTTGTTGCGGCAGTTGGGGCAGGTGTGGCGCACGTCTTTGCAGTCGTCGATGCAGAGTGGGATGAGGCAGCATCCTAGCCAACACCTGCGTCGTGTGATAAAACAGTGCATCATTACCTTACCGCACATACACACACACACACACACACACACACACAGGCACACAACAGTGCATATATATATATATATAATCGAGAGCGTATAAAGAAGGAGAGCGTACAACCGTGAAATGCTGAAACCATGTTGTAGTATTAGTCGAATTAAGAAACTTTGCCCGTTTTATTTTGACGATTCTTTGCGGTATTATTGATCAGCTGTCCTACCTTGCTAATATAATACAAACCGCTTGTCCCTACGATGCCCCTACGCTGAGATAATGAGCGGTGAAAATCTGGTATTTTTGCCGAAAACCGACTCGAGATTCCTGTTTGCTGCGACTCTCTCTCGCTTTGTGGCCAGTGTGTTGCTTCCGGTCGCCGCTGTGTAGCGCCATGGTAGCGCCGACTCATTACGTCAGTACTACAGAGATTACTACATCCAGTGTGGGTTGGGCACAGGTGGGAGTCATCACTATGGCAATAAATAACAGACGTCATTCATTCCATTTGTCAATCATTGGCGGAAACACGCGAGGTTTCCCGAAGTTATCTCAAAGCGAGAGACAGTCGCAGTCAGCAGGTATACCTCGAGTCGGTTTTCGGCAAAAATACCAGATTTTCACCGCTCATTATCTCAGCGTAGGGGCATCGTAGGAACATGCGGTCTGTTTTATATTAACAAGGTAGGACAGCTGATCAATAATACTGCAAAGGATCGTCAAAATAAAGCGGGGAAAGTTGATTAATTCGACTAATACTGCAACATGGTTTCAGCATTTCACCGTTGTACGCTCTCCTTCTTTATACGCTCTTGATATAATCTAGAATGCTACACGATCAATATAAACCATTTACTTCGCAAACTCAAAGTATCTTAGCTGCAATCATAGTAAGTGACGTTTCTACAGGTGACCCACATAATTATTTGGTGATTAATCTTACTAACAGTATGTTTATGTTGCAACTTGTGAGTGGGTTAGCATGCATCCTACAAACTACTTTCAGTGAAATACTTCATTATGAGGGCGTTAGCAGTAAGTATCATGCAAACTCTACAGACACACATACAATCTTGTTCTTGTTAAAGAATGGGTAGAAGAGAGGCAATGTGTTAGCAGGTGAATTTCGCCAACGATCCTGGGTGAGCCGACGTTGAAGGAACAATACAGAATTTAACCCCAGTTATGTATAACACTGTCCTATTTAACCCCAGTCGTGTATAACCGCAGCCATTTACGACTCCAACTATCTATAACCATAACGATCTGGCAGAATTTGACTGTTTCGGAAAGGGGGTAAAATTCCACTTTTCAAAAGTCGATTACAAACGAATGTACAATAATTTTTGGGTGAACATTGTTGCTTTCTTATCAGGATAACGTATTTAACTTATACGCAGATATTAAACTTGGTTCCATGAGATGTCAAACGAAAGTGAACAATGATCACTGTTGGCCCAATAGTCTATAGTACAATTCATTATAGCAATGACAAATTTCGCGTTAACATAAAGAGGGGACGATGATCTTCCGAAGGAAGCTGATCGAAGGTAGTAGACCACGTAGAACTCCTATGATTTCTATCACACGGCGTGCACGCGTGTGCCAATGACCTTTTATTGGCCGGCGATAATGAACTGGGGTTCTTATCTTTCATCTTCGCTGCACCTCCGTATGAGGGGATTGCACAGTTGCACAGTTGCACAGTTGCACAGCAGCCAGCTAGATAATGCCAACATGCTCAGACGATTGTCTCACGGATATCGCAGCACTAATAAGAATTTTGCCCGTGTAGCGTTTTACACGATTACCACCAGTACAACCTCCTCGAGGGAATTTCGCACTCAGAGATTCGGGTTCGCTTCTCCGGTTCATGCTGCCATGGCAAACGGATCGGAAATATCTCTAATTGTGCGATGCAGGTTACATAAGCGGGTAGGGTGTGATGGTGTGTGCGTGTGTCGGCGAGCGTGCGTGCGTGTGCGCGCGCGTGTTTGTCGGTGTGCGCGCGCGTAGAGGGGGGGGCATTGTAGCACGGGGTCGGGCAAATTCTAGCATACGGTCTATCCAGTCTCCATGGGACGTTGCCACGGCAACCGGTTACGCGACCAAAGTTTCCGACGGCAAGAGGTTTTAGACAAAATTGAGTAGGCGTCACGTGTAGCTCGCTTCACACCCGCTAACTCTACTACTAGCCCAGCAGCTCGCTTCCCTCCCGCTCACCCTGCTGGCCCGGACGCGGCGCGCACGGCGGAGGAGGCATGGCTTACCCGACGAGGCACAGCACGCCGACGATGAGCCAGGCGAACATGCCGGTCTCGTACTCGCACACCGTGTTCACGTGCTGCTGGCAGTGCGGACACTGCACTGGCGTCGACCGCGTCCCCATCTGCATGCTCGTCACGACGATGGTGGTCGGCGGTGTGACGACTGCGGCGGCGGCGGACGGCGGGGGGGAAAACACGGCGATACGTTAGTCAGCGTCGTCGAGGAGGGGGCGCGGGGGGAGTCGAGCGTCGTATGACAATTCTTGCCGCCGTTGCTGTTGTTGGTTGTTGTTGGTGGTGGTGGAGGTGCTGCTGTTACTGCTATTGCTGATGCTGCTGCTGCTGATGACAATACTACTGCTGCTGCTGATGGTGGTGGTGGTGTTGCTGCTTCTGTTATTACAGATACTGCTGCTGATGATGTTAACGCTGTTGCTAATGCCAATTCTATCGGAGCTGATCCAGATGCTCTTGTTGCTGGCATTTCTGCTGTTTCTGCTGCAATTGCGATCGCAGCAAAGATCTTCACACTGGTGCTGGTGCCGACTTGGGCCCTCATTCCATATGAGCTGCAGGTTGGTGAGCTACAGTCATCTTTCAAGTTTTATGTATATACGCATCCGAAAGTAAACAGTAGTGCATAAGTGACGTCTGTTTAAAACTTCAAACAATTTGGTTCAGCCAGGCTTAAGAGTATAGCCACCCTGGCAAGTTTACCGAATGTTATGGGAAACATTAGCCACGACGTACGTAAAAAAACGCTTTGCCTACAAATGCTTATTTTAGCTCGAGATAAAACTTGAAAGCTAAGAGTAGAGTTTGCAACAGCACAGTCAGTGCCTTAGAGGAGCAGCCGACACCTCAAACTGTATCCCGAAGGAAAAATACGAGCCGGGAGTAACACAAAGACGTTGAGAGCAGTGTAAGGTTAAACACTAATTACAATCTCATCAAAAGATTTTTCACTAGTGCACAGCTTCTTTCTAGTCTACAAATTGTTTTTTTTCTCTCGCAGAAACAAGTTCCTGATGCAGGCCTAGACAGGATAGAGGAGAGACGAAACAAATGCATGCCTAGTTTACAGTTGATATCATGCAACGCAAGGCGAATCAACAACGCACCTTACAAGCATCGGGATATACTCGTCTGGCATGCCTATCACTATATCGGTGACAAGATAGACGACAAACAGGCGAGTAGGACGCGAGAACGGTTGAGGGAAGGCAATGGTACGAAGGCATACACGAAGGGCTACTATCGGATGGATTTGTAGACTTCTGTAGAAGCTGATGCGTCGTCACGCAATGATGGCAGCCAGCACGGTATCTCGCCACAGCGTTTGTAACGTGGAACTGCAAGCCAACGACGGAGGGCGCAACACGCGTCCCCGAGAAGTGACGGTGGCGTTCGGCGATGGTCCCGAGCCGACTCGGGCGAATGTTAGTGGTGTTAGCGCGGCGGCTCTCGCTCGGGGGGCGTCGCCACGTCGCCGGATCACGGCGCGTGCATGCAACGGCGGAGCGGCGAAAAATGCCCCGCAACTCACCCGCAGAGACACAACAGGCCCACGAGTAGCCACGTGAGGAGTCCGTTTTCCGGATCCGTGTTTGTCGCGCCCTCTGTGCGGCAGTTCGGGCATACGCGGACGGAAGGACTAGTCCCAAAGGGTTGCGTGACGGCGAGTTTTGGTTCGGTCGCCACTATTCACACGAAAAAACGCGAGGTCATGTACAGAACTCGTGCGTCCACAGCTGCCATCTAACATCTGCACAGTCTAAGTCCTGCCATCTATTCGTCACAAACCTCCCCCTCCCCATATCCATTGAGTCCTCTTTTGTATGACGGTCACCAAACTGGCTATACATTGGGGGGGGGGGTAAAAAAAACGGTTACGCTTCTGAAAAAACGAAAGGTTGTTGTATTATTAAAGAACCTAGGTTACACGAAACCAGGACTTCACCGTGGGTTAGAACGAGGGCTCTGTGGAGCCTTCTCCGTCGCTAATCACAGACGCAACTCGATGCGGGACAACTAGATTCGTGCAGCGAACGTGCGTTTATTGCTCGCACGTTGCAAACTTGCTTTAAAAAGATCGAGACGAATGTAAATTCCGCGACACCTTCAAACGCTACATCAGCATACTAATTCTTAAGCTGGGAGCTACAGTTTGCTCCCACGTTACCAAAATTTTGACCTTACCTCATAATCAATGTCTGCCAAACAGCACCAACAGCAGCAGCCGTGAGAGAACGAAGTAAAAATAAACCGAGACCTTCACAACAATGAGACGACCAGCAGCAGCAGTGACCGACCACCAACAGCTTCAAACAGGCAACAGCAAAGGCAGTGGAGGCCGACCGGTGGTAACCGAGCGATCGGGCTGTATTTTCGGGTTGCGACGCAGTTTGCGCGACGATGCCTTTTAATGCGGCTGGTAAACGCACTCGATATTGACACCGATTTACACATTTCACGCTTAACGCCGTCGAAGCGTGACCCGCCATTAAGTGAGGGCCGTTTTACACGGAATCTTTAGTTTAGTATAGCCCGTCTTTTGAGTCTTACGTCTACTCGAACCTACCTGGTTGGACTGATGGTGGTGCATAGCCAGGTTGGCCCTGTGGTGGGTAGCCAGGTTGACCCTGTGGTGGGTAGCCAGGTTGACCCTGTGGTGGGTAGCCAGGTTGGCCTGGGGGCGGTGCAAAACCCGGCTGGGCTCCTCCCTCCCCGGCACCCGAATACGGGGGAGGCTGATCCGGATAAGGTGCTTTCTCTGACGTCATCGCACTTTGTATACGTGTCTATGTTATGTGACTCAGTGCTCCTTGTGTTCGTATGCTGTTGCCACTCTGAAATTTACAATTTACAAGCATGCGCGTGTGTCTATGATCATCATTCGCCTTGTCTCCATCAAGAGTCGATTACAAATATTGTAAAATAACATGGCGTGGGTGCAGCATATAGAACACAATTTAAAAACAAGCAGAAGTACATAAATTCATAACAATGCAGAATCCTGCAAGCCAAGTACCACTACCAGTGGTAACAATTTCTATTAAGTGTTTTTTTATGCGGGGTGGGGGGCAGAAACAGTGTGATACTGATAACTTCGATTGGGTATATATAATGCATTTTGCACGGGCAACCTAACTACTAGACTTGTATCAACATGGTAAAAATTATTGAGCCGTTAGAAAAAAATAGCCAATCTATCGTTTAACAGTATGTCATTGTCACATTCTGGTTGTAAGCCAACTGCACTGTAGGCTGTATTATTTTAGTGTGTACAGACACTGCATATATACACACATAGGCCTACATAAATTAACCTACCGCAGGTAACATGATATTATGTGCAAACAAACCAAGCAATGTAAATACCACAGGCACTTGAAGCATATCAACAGTAAACATACGCCGCCGCCATCGCGCGTACACTGACACATATATATTGACTCAATATATATGTGTCAGTGTATGCGCGATGGCGGCGGCGTATGTTTACTGTTGATATGCTTCAAGTGCCTGTGGTAAATACTATTTGTATGGTACAATGCACAACTAGCTTAGGGAACTAGCTATAGGGCTTTACTACTCATGTAGTCTTTGTTCACAAAGCATGTGGCAATGGCAACGAGAGTAATAATCTAATATATAATATTTTATACAATTCTAGTGACATTTCTATATACTACTACTAGGGCTCATAAGGTCTATGTCACCCAGGGTACTGCCGGAACGTACCCTGGGTATGGTCCGGTACACTGGAACGTACCCTGGTCACTATCTGATATGGTTAGGGTTAGGATTAGGGTTAGGGTTACGATTCGGTTTCGGGTTAGGGTTAGGGAGTAGGCGTAGGCGACTCCCTAGACTCGTTATTGGAGTAGGCGAGGTACGGTCCGGCATATTACTATTAGATAGTACCAGGGTACGTTCCGGTATACCGGACCGTACCCAAGGTACGTTCCCGTTCCGGCAGTACCCTGGAGGACATAGACCCTCTCAGCACTACTACTACTAGTAGTAGTACTAGGCCTACACATTTTTACCAACACAGACTCGATTTCGTTGACCTAGAAATGATTATTACGATATACAGTAGACCGATATCCACTTGGATATAGAAAATAAAACGAAACCAGTAAACGCATTCCGCAGTCACTGCTTGCGCGTACACTGTAGCACAGAACATGAAGGCTGTAAGTTGAGCCAAGTTGCTGCCTGGATTGAGGCGTGGTGCTTCCAACGCCTCACATCTGTTTTATCCCAGACCGAAACTCGGTCACACTGAACACGCGCGTTTCACTACAGTACCGATAAATCGAACGTTCTCAACACGTCAAACCGTTCTTATCTATACCGAAGGCAAGTTACTACACACACCTACGTCCCGGAACCAATCTTGCGAGTGTTGAACATGAACAAGCAGCCGAACTTTGGACCTAAACCTTTACACTGGAAGGCAGGAAATTCACAAGAATGCGGACCTAGTAGTTATGACCTATGGCGCCAGCACATCGATAGACGAGCTCTTTATACAGTATTCGCATACGTTGTACGAGAATAGAATAAGTCGGAGACAGTCTACGCCGTGTTTCGCATGGAAAGGGAGCATCATCCGGGTACCCTGGGTCTGGCGCGCACACACCGCAGCCGGCTGAAAGGGGCGATAGGATATGTTTACTAGGCACTTCTAATTTTAACATATATTTTAAATTTAATTAGGGTCAGGGTTAGGGTTAGGGTTAGAGTTAGGGTTAGGGTTAGGGTTAGGGTTAGGGCACTTTTTAGGGTTTTTGCATCATTCTTTAATATATCGTAAAATATATGTTAAAATTAGAAGTGCCTAGTAAACATATCCTATCGCACCTTTCAGCCGGCTGCGCGTACAGTCGTACACCACCCACTGACACCACCGTACTATACCATAGACCCAGGGTACCCGGATGAGGGAGCATGTGACGTGTCACGTACGTCACCGTACCGCTCTGGTTCCACCGATCCCCACCGATCTGTTTCGCGTGTATTTCTTGCCTAGTTACAAGCCTTTAGCTCGGGGTCTTCCCTCTTCTCACACTCAATTCATTTTATAACGCCCTTCGCTTCGCCTACCACGGACACACGCGATGCTTTATGAACTATCTAAACAACTACCGCGCATGTACAAGCGATGAGTTGTGGTTGCTGCGAAAATGCCACATTTGAAGTCCAGGTGGCAGCACATACTGGTTTCAGCCAAAATATTGCTCTCAGCGTCCGAGAACAATATATATAATATCAAAAGTACATATAATAGATGTATAGATGTAGATAGACATAATTCTATTATGTACTCTTGTTAATATACACTACTATAATATTATATTATAATATTGTTCTCAGCTCAGCGTCACGGTGATCCAGGGAAAATGCAGGAGGTGCCAGATGCGCATCATCTCTCTCTCTCTCTCTCTCTCTCTCTCTCTCTCTCTCTCTCTC